ATACCATTGGATTTTCTCTTGGCTCATTCTGCCAATTGGTGACTTTTGATTGGAGAGTTGAAACCATCACATTGAGAATTTTTACTAAAATGTATTCCTGTAATTACATTATTTCCTCTTGCCAATTCCCTTTCTTTCCCTTCTACTTTAATGTTCACCCTAGTTGGAATATTTATTCTTTCTATTGGACTTTTGGCATTGTTAGCATCATTCTTTTTTTGAGGATATTCTTGATAGTTTTTTTTTTGGAGTGCTGGTTTAGTGATCATGAATTTTTTAAATGTGCTCTTTATCATAGAAACGTCTTATTTCTCCATCATTTTTGAAAGATAGTTTTGCAGGATGCATCAGTCTTGGTTGGAAGTTATTTTATTTTAAGATTTCAAACACTTCACTCTGAGCTTTCTTGGCCTTAAAGTTTTGTGTTAATGAATCTGCTGTAATCACTTTCTAAATGATTTATTGCTTTTCTCTAACAGCTTTTAAAATTCTGTTCCTATGTTAGACTTCTGAGATTTTTTTATTATCATGTGTCATGTAGAGGTTCTCTTCTGATCATGACTATTTTGGATTCTCTATGTCTCATCTGCATGTTGAATTCTTTTACCATATTTGGAGTTTTCTGCTATTATTTCTGTAAACAGGATTTTTATGCCATTTGTGCTGTCTTCTCATTTTTCACTAATTCTAATTAATTTTAGATTAGTGTTCTTTGCATCATCTTACAGCTGTTGGATCCATTTTTCATGTTCTTATACTGTTTGTTGTTATCTCTCAGTAATGGTCACTGATAATAGTCCTGTCTTCTCATTCTGACACTGTCTTAACATTGGTCACTTCTCCTGCCTGTAGTTTCAGTAGAATTTTTAACTTCCTGAAGATCTGTTTGGAAGCTTTTCATGGGCTTTAATTCTTTTCTATACTGGACATTCATGTTTTGTATCATTTGGTTAGCTCAGCTAGCTTTTTATTAATGTCTTCTGTAGATTCATTGATCATTTCCTTTATTAGGTCCATTAACTCTTTAATTAGATCTTCTTTGAACTAAGAAACTTTTTTTTTTTTGATACTGGAGATCAAACTTGGGTCCTTGTGCTTGTGAGGCAGGTGGCAGAACCATTGAGCTAAATCCCTGGCCCTCTAAGCAACTTATTGATCCATATTTTCTTATCTGCTATGCTCTTGAATAATTTATCTATTTATTTATTTATTTTTGGTTTTTTGAGACAGGGTCTCACTATGAGACTGAACTGGAACTCGCTATGTAGCCCAGGCTGGTCTCAAACTCACAGCGATCCTCCTGCCTCAGCTTCCTGAATGCTGGGATTACAGGTGTGTGTCACCACGCCCAGCTTGTATGCTTTTGAATAATTTAGCTGTGCATGTTTTCATTTCCTCCCTCTCAATTTCAGCTTTGGGGGAGTTTGGAGTTTGGGGAGGCATTTTGTTTCCTTGTCTTCTTGTGTTTCTATTTTGGTTTGTTGTTTTTTCTGGTGAGGCTTGTTGTGGGTTATTTATAGTGGAAGATTTTGTTGCTGGTATGGAGGCCATTTCAGGTAGCATCTGCTTTTCAGCAATGCACTCTGACTGTGGCTAAGTGTAGGCCTTTGCCTCTGTCCCACAGTGCCAGCACCTCTTTTTCTTTGGGAGGAGAGCCTACCATGTATTTGGCTCAATGCCCACTTCTCTAGGAATGGACCACAGTATTGCTAATGACACCAAAGTAGTCCAGATATGGGCATACAGAGAAAACCAACAACTGTGTCGCTTTGGCTGTAGTAATAAAATCAGCAACAATAATAGCATCAAAGACAAACTGGATATTAACATACACTAAGAACCAATGTAAAAGAGATCTTATTTCTTAGCCATTTAAAAGAGATCTATCATTATAGTATAAACATTATACCAATATAACCATATAAAAGAGATCATTATAGTATAATCTTAATCAAAACCATATGAGATCTGTTACATTTAACCATATAAAAGAAATCTATCATTATAATATAAACACCAAGAAAAACCAAATATTAAATACAAAAAGTATCTACTTAATGGAACAATTGTAATTCCATTAACAATAGAATAGTATTCATCAGTAATAACATAGAGTTAACTACTTAAAGATTTATAAAGCTTAATTGTTATACTAGTATAGACAGAAGGAGTGGGGAACTGGAGAATGAGAAAAGTGAAATTTGAAATATGATAAGGAAGACAGAAAAGTGAGATATGGCATCCTATTGCAGAGTCAAAGGATATTAATATTAGATAAAAGAAAAGTGAACAATAAAAAGAAGGAAAAGATCCTCATTTACACTTTTAGTTTTGCACGCTAGAGAAACTATTCAGTATTTACATATAAAATGTATAATTGATATTGTGAAATAAGAAGAAAATGTCTAAAGGAGTAGGGGAAGTGGGAGGGGTAGGGGAAAGGAAAGAAGGAAAAATAAAAAATATGAGAAATGGAAAAATATGGAAACAAAGTCTTTGTAAATAGGGAAGGGTGGAGGGGGTGAAGGGAGGGCAGAAATAAGAACCAAGATACATCATGCAAAGGTGCAAGATCTTAGTGATGAATGTAACTATATTGTATACCTAAAATGTACCAATAAACTTAATGGAAAAAAAAAAGAAAAAGAAACAAGAGAACAAAATAAAAGAAAAAAAATAAGAAAAAAGATTAAAACCCCAACCCCTAAATATCCCCCCAGAAAAGCAATGAAAGAACAAGAAAATTAAGTCAATTAGAAAGAATTCCTGTTTTTGAATGAGTAGTTTCTTTCCAGAATCTGCAGTCTTTGCATCTAAGAAGTCATGATTTTTTTTCTGCCTAGTTTAATGGCTATAGGTTTCTCTCCCTAGCTTTATGGCTCTGCTTGCTCCAGAGCCCCCTCTGTCCATACACCTCAGACACTGGCAATTGTTCACACCCAGGTGTGTCCTTGCTCATGTTAGCAGATGGGAAAAGCAATCATGCCTCTAGTCTCTGTTGGATGTAGGCAATGGAACAAGGATTCAATCAGCCTCCTTGGAAAGCCACACTCACTAGGTCTGTTTTCTCATGACAGAGAGCAGGACCTATGTCTTTTTCTGCTGAAATTTAAACTTGTAAGAGGGTCTATGTCTAGTCCCCATCCTTTCTGCTCCTGTCTCCCATGGCTGTCTCTCACCCAGTAACTGTGAAAGGGTGACACTTAAAACATGAAGTGGAGTTGGTCTGTAGTTGTTCTGTGAACTCACTGAAGCACAGGCTCAGCCTCCCATTTTATTTATTTATTTATGTATGTATGTATGTATGTAGTATGTATGTATGTATTTATTGGAGACAGGTCTTACTATGTAGTCCAGACTGACCTTGAACTATGGTAGACTGGCCTTAAACTTGTGGCTATCTTCCTGCCTCAGCCTCCTGAGTGCTGAGATTACAGGCATGTGCTACCACGTCTGGCTGTGGCTCAGTTTTAAACACTCAACCCTTTCCCAAAATGGCATCTGATTAAACACTGTCTGGTAATATGGAGGGCGCTGCACTGGGTTTCTTCTCCAACCCCAGCCTGCCATGAGAGATCTACTTTCAGAGAAAACTCCACACTGTTTTTGTTCCCAATAGCTGTGGGCTTTCCTTGGGGTTTGTGCTACAGGCCAGGTTTGTATTTTCTCCCTGGGCTTACTTGCTGGTTGTTCAGCATCTCTGCTGCCCCATGCCAAGGGAAAGCAAAGCATAGAACTGGCTTGAAGTTGGCAGATAGTCGAGGCCAGGGTGCAGAATTCAGGGACATGGAGACAGTTGGGGTGAATGTATGTGTGGGGTGAAGCTGCTACATTGTCCAAGCCACAAGCAGCCAGCTCTTCATTCAACTTTTACCCTTGTCATCTCCATTCTGTTATTGAGCCCATCCTTGGAGTTTTCAATTTGAAAGTTTTATTTGTTTCTGTTTTTATGTATCTTATATTTCTCCACTAAGACTTTCTTTTTCCATTTATTGTATCATTCTTAGAGCATGGTTAGAATATTTCTTTAAAGTCTTTGTCTAATCATCCTAATAATTATGCCATCCTTGGGATTGGTGTCTGTTAGTTACTTTTTCCCTCATGATATGTTGAATTGTTCTGGTCCTTCATATGTCAATAATTGCTGATTGTATCCTGACCATTTTGAGCATTGTGTTTTGACCTTTGGATTTTTTTTTCCAAATTGTACAGAGAATGATGGTTTTTAGTAGACAACTTCATTAGATTCAGGCCATAATTTTATACCCACCTTTGGACTATGGTTTCACTGTCAGTTCAGTTAAAATCTTTGCAGTGCTGTTCTGGGATAAATCCCTCTTGGTCCTTTTAATGGATATTGGATTCAGTTTTCTAGTATTTTGCTCAGTTTTGCATTCATAGTCACAAGGAATATTGGTATGTAATTTTCTTGTGATTTAAAAAAATATCTACCTTAGGTATTTGGGGATGCTGGCATTATTAGAATGAGTTAGAAAGTGTTATTTTTCTATTTTTTGAAGAGTTTAAGACCATCTATTAATTCTTTAAATGTCTGGTGGAATTCACTCATGAAGCCATCTAGTCCTAAACCTTTAGTTGTTCTGAATATATATAAACTAAATGTATATATATAAATTAAATGTACATAACCTAGTACACACACACACACACCCTACAGTAAAGGTGGTTTATACAACCTGTGCTGGTTATAGATGTATTGATACCCCCCACCCCTGTACTGGGATTGAATGCAGGGACACTATACCACTGAGCTGCATCCCTCGCTCTTCCTTATTTTGAGACAAGGTCTTGCTAAATTTCCTGAACTGGCCTTGAACTCCTAATCCTTCTGCCTCAGTCTCCAGTAACATATGTTGAATGGACCAGATAAGATTTACATCAAATTTCAGCTTTCACGTCCATTTAAAGAGAGATTTCTTTTCTAAGAAAAGATGTTTATCAATATGGAAAAGAAAACCACTCTAGGAAGCAGACAGGAAGACAGTGAAACTTTTACTATAAAATACACTGTCATTTCTGACAACCGGAGTCATCTTCGAGTTACTTCTTTCCCTTTGGTGGTGCTTTGTCCTTTTCTTTGCCTTTGTCTGCTGCTGCCTTATCTGCAGGTTTGCCCTTGTCACCTGGCTTTTCTGGTTCTTTGCCAGGTGTCTTTTCTCCTTGAGCTGCTGCCGATTTGTCTGGCTGTGGTGGGACCAGTATATTCCTTTTGATTCTCTTGCCTTTGAAGTGTTTTCTTTGAAAATATATATCAAGAAAAGCAAAAAATGCAGCCACACCCATAAGGACCTGAAAAACAAAAGAATCTTCATTATTTTGGTTTCTCCTTCCAAAGATATTTCCTTCCTAGTTTCTAATTCATCCATGATGCTACTTAACACATCCCCTCAACCCCTAACACTACCAGAACCAGAGATTCTGAGTGTGCCCCTCCCTCATCTTGGGCTTTCTCCATCCCTACTGCCCTTTCATCACATCTCTTTAGACCCAGCCTTTGCTCTGGAGTCAGCAACTATGAAAAGCGACTAACTGAGGCTGGACGTCATCTTTATTGAAGTGACTTCTCCACTGGAAACATTTGCCAAGTTTCTTTATAAAATTTTACTTTGGACCTAAGATATTTCTACAAATGAGATCTTTGCTTTAATAGGGGAACATGCCTTGATACTCAGTTCTTCAAAAGAGGTGAGTTCAGAGCAAATCCCCAGCCCAAAGGACAGACTCACCACAGCAATTAAGTAGTTTACTGGCATTTCCGGTTGCTTCTGTACAGCAAAGTATATGCCTCCACCGAGGAACACACAAATGAACAGGTCATTGAGAAGGTCCTGAAAATGGTGGAGATGAGTTGTAGAAACAGCAAAGCCCCATCAACACTCGATACAGCACAGCTTTCTCCAAGCATAGAGCTTCTAAACTTCTGCCTGATGTTTCATCTCTATCTCTATCTATCACTGGATGGGGGGGGTGGCTAGGATGTTCCCCCAAAGAGGAGACGGGTAACCCTGTAGAATAGGTTCTTGATTCATCTTCAGAAAAGCATTTCAGGATGTGTCAGTGTGAGGCGTAGGCAGTTTTATTGCACACAGCAAGTAAGAGAAGATACTGAAGGAGCAGCTGAAGGGGGCACAGCTCTGATGTAGAGGGTCACTCTGGTTCCTTAACAAAGGGACAGAACCAGCCTTTAAAGAGTTGGGGTTAGCTGGGTGTGGTTGATCATTATCTCGGTTCTGGAGAAGTTCATATCAATCCAGTTTCTGTGAGATGATGGGTTTCTGCTTGGTACACTGTCAGTTTTACAGGGGCTCTGCTGGAATCCAAGGTGACTGTAGCTTTGGACAGTGATGGAGACTTCTGACAATCATTGGTAGTTGAATGTCCCTGGGAATCTCTTATCTTGGTGTATCAGTCTTGAAGAGGGATGAGATAGGTTATATAAATTTAGGGCAAATCAACCAGTGTTTAGACAGACATTCCCTAAAAGATTAACAGGCCTATATGCAGAGCTAAATAAAGATGTGACCCAAAGTTTTAAAGTAATAAAAGAGACAGATACAAAATGAAGATTGGGCTTTGTTTTGCTTTTGGATATTGGCAGGCCCAAATGAAGAGTCACTGCTTTTTAGCAAAAACAGTTTTCAACCCCTGACTGCCTCAGAAGCAAATACAAATCATTCTTTAATGAGTAATGGGTTAAGGGACCAGAAGTTTGTTTGTCCTCTGTCCCTGTGGTGGTCTCTGACTTTGTCAGAGCTAGAGCTAGAGCCTAAGCTAGACAGAGATAGAGATAGGGGGCGATATATGCCCTGGTCTAGGTGGGCACACCACCAGAGGCAGCCACCTGGCCTCTTTGAGTGAAGGTCCGCAGTCTTTAATTGCCCTCAGGCTGGAGCCTGAGAAGACACAAGCTCCCACCCCTACCATCTCGTCTGTAAAATCGCACAGCTGGCCCCCACCAATACTCATTTAAACAAATGCATAAACGTACAACTTTGTGATATCCCTCAATCATCACCCACATCATTTTCTACTCTCAGGGCCAGCTCCTTCTGTGGAGGCTGGAGGTAGGGGGCAGCAGTGCTGGCAGCAGACTCTTGTATTGTGCTCCTGCTTGGGAGCCTGGCAGCTCCCTGCTCGACTGCCTGCCTTGCCTCCTGGGACTCCTGTCCTCTATTTATTTAGTTGTTTATTTATTGATACTGGATATTGAACCCAGGGCCTTTGCATTGAGCTACATCCCTAGCCCTCTTTAATTTTGAGACAGAATCTTTCTAAGTTGCCCAGGTTGATCCGTTTGCCTCTACCTCCCAAAGTGCTGGGCTTACACAGTGCTACCATGCCCAGCTGTATGTATGTATGTATGTATGTATGTATGTATGTATGTATATATTTATTTCTGTACCAGGGATAGAACTCAGTACCTTGTACTTGTGAGGCAGGAGCAGCACTACGGAGCTAAATCCCCAGCCCCCAGCTGTGTTTATTTTTGAGGCAATTTTGTTAAATTATGTTTTTTCTAGGAAATAAACTATTTTATCTGAAGTTTCCAGTTTATTAGAGTAAGAAGTTCATATTTTCCTTTGTGATTTTTAAAAGGTCTCCTTGATCTTTATGGTATTTTTCTTTGTTCCTTCTTCCCTTTTCTTGTCTTGGAAGTTTTTCTGTTTTTGTTTTTGTTTTTAGACAGGGTCTCACTGTGTAGTTTAGGCTGGTCTTGAACTCACTGTGTAGCCCAGGCTGGCCTCAAACTCAGAGTGGTCCTCCTGCCCCAGCTTCCTAAGTGATGGGATTATAGGCGTGTGCCACCACGTCTGGCTCTTGAGGTTTATTTATTAGTCTTTTCAAAGAACTAGCTTTTTGGCTTTATTATCAATATCCATACTATAGATTCTTGTTTTCTGTTTCATTAATTTCAGTTCTTAGGCATTTCCTTAATCCCCTTTTTATTTTATTTTGGTATCTTTTTCATATAGACACTTTATTTATTATTTGCTCTTCTATCCTAAGTATATGGATTTGAATTTGAATTTTTTATGTTCCTTAGCTTAAGAATTTGAATTACTTAATTGCATTCTACAGGTCGTACTTGCCAATATTGCATATTACTAAATCCCCATATGAACATTAAGTTTTCCCACAAACATATGTTGATATAATTACATTTTAGCTATCTACTTCTAATTGGACTATATCAAAATTGTATTATATTGAAATAATAGACAGTGGGCTAGCTTATTAATGAGGTCAGTGTTCTCATAATTCAACCACCTCTCAAGAAGTCTCTTAATGCAGTCAAGTTTACAATCAAGATTAAAGTTCATAATTGCTATATGTTATAATCTATTTTTTAACTTTTGAATTTTATTAGTACATGCTTGCAGTACATGCAGTTTATAACCATCTTAGGAGTGGTTTCATGTACATATGACATCGTGGTTTTTTTTTTTCTTAATTCCCTTCCCCCTTCCCCAACCCTCCTTTCCTTTCTCTATTCTGATTTTCATTCTTTGTGGGGTGGGCACCGGGGATTGAACTTGGGACCTGGTGGTTGCGAGGCAGGCAATGGAAACACTGAGCTAAATCCCTGGCCCCTGATTTTCATTCTTGTGGTTATCTTTATTGTGCTCATTTCTTCTTCCTCTCCTCTTTACCCCTTGCCTTTGTTCCCTTGGACCCCTTCCCTGTTGCAAGAGAGCCATCCCTTTGCCCCCTTGTATCCATCCTTTATTTTCTTTCTTTGCACTTTGCCTCACACAAATGACAGGCACACAGCATTTAAGCTTGCATGTCTGTTTTTTTGTACCAGGGATCGAACTCAGGACCTTGAACTTGTGAGGCAGGTGGCAGAACCACTGAGCTAAATCCCCAGCCTGTTTGATCCACTTTTAATTGTAATCTTCTTTATACATATTTTTGGGGGAATGGTATTAGGAATTAAACTCAGGGCCTTCATACTAAGTTACAACACCAGCCCTTTTTTATTTTTATTTTTTAAATTTTTAGACAAGGTCTTGCTAAGTCACTAAATTTCTCAGGCTGGGCTTAAACTTTTGATCTCTCTGCCTCAAAGTGCTGGGATTACTGGTGTGGGCCACCATGGCTAGCTGTAGTTTTAAATATACAAAATTGGTTTAATCTGGTATTAACGCTATGTTGGTTTTCTTTTAGTTAGTATTGCCTTCTTTTTTTTCTACCCTATATAGCCTTTGTGTGTTCTTGAATTAGTCTTATGATTTCCTTTAGTTTATGAACATTTTAAAGATAGCTGATTTATAGTCTTTTTCTAGCAAGTCTGATATCTGAACTTCCTTAGGAACAGTTTCTGCTAATTTCTTCTCTTTTCCCTATGTATGGGTCGTACTTTCTTATTTCTTTGTATGTCTTGTAATTCCTTTTGAGGACCAAATATTTTTCATATTATAATGTAGTTAATCTGAAAATGGGATTCTCTCTCATTCTCAGACTGTATTGTTGTTGAGGGTTAAACTCATTTTTATGTTCAGTGACTTTTCTAAGCTTTTTTGGAAAGACTTTTCTCATGTTACCACTAAAATCTGTTTCATTAGCCTGATAGTCAGCTATTGATTTGACAAAGATTTCCTTAAATGACAGAACACAAATGAATAAAAAGAAAGTACTTTGAACTGGTCCCCTCTCACAACATTCGTTGAACACTTAGGCTGTTTATAACTCAATCTTTTTTTTTTTTTTTTTTTGGTATCAGGGATTGAACTTGGGATCTTGCACTTCCAAGACAGGTGGTGGAATCACCTTGACTTTCTGCTTGCCAGAAGCCTAATGGTTATCCAGAAATGCTTAGGGTTCTCCTCAAGTCTTTTCTGAGTATGTGTCCAGTCCCAGGAATGTGTGTGGCCTAGCGTCCCTGGTATACATGGGAAATATTTCAGAGTCTCTGTTTCACTATGTATCTCCTTTTTCTGCCTCTTCTTTTCTGGATTTTTTTTTTTTGGTCTACTACTTGTATTTCCTTTTGCCCCAAGTGGGCTGAAACTAGTGTGTTTGCCTTCAAATACTTTTGATAAATGCTACTTGACAGGCTGCTTCATCCCCAAGAAGGTTCTGAGGTGGATGGAATAAAGGCAAAATCCTAGGCAAATCTGTGGTAGCCACCAGACAGGTCAAAGCAAATACAGGGCCAGATTTCTTTGACATATGTCCATATTATGTTCTCTGTTAAATTCAAACTTCATGTTATGTTCATCATTGCTGCCAAGCTGGGAAGGTGGATACCTTAGAATGCACAATGCTCTCTTAGGAACACTGCAGTTTCTTTCTTTGTTGTTGTTTAGCACTCCTTTGGTGCAAGATTTTTTTAAAAACTGATTTCAGAGTTCTGAACAAGTTGTTTTGACAGTTATTTTGCCAGTTTAATTATTGCTCTGAGTTTCCCATTTTGCTACACTCAGTGATATTTTCATTAAATCTAGAAATGGCTTCTTGATCATTATCTCTTTGAATATTTCCTCTTCTTTATTCTCTCAATGACTTTCCTACCCCAGTACTGGGGATTAAACCTGGCACCTTTGTACTGAGCTACCTTCTTAACTTAAAAATTTTTTTCTTTTTGATATAGGGTCTTTTTAAATTGCCCAGGTTGGGCTCAAACTTGCAATCCTGCTGCTTCAGCCTCCCAGAGTGCTAAGATCTCTTGAGCACTCTTAATTCATATTCTATATTCCAGCCTCTCTCACATGTTTTCTCTTAAGACTATTTCCTGGCAATTTCTCTATACTTTTCAGTTCACAAATTCTGTCTTCAACTATGTCTGATCTACTTTTGAATCCATCTATTAACATTCTTATTTCAACAACTATATTTTCTATCATAATGTATTTTAAAATCTGTCTATTCTGTCTTCAAAGTATCTTATTCTTAGAGCTTGTATTTATGTCTGTAATTATTTAAAAAGATTTATTGTTGTTTTCTCATATTTTTAACTCTTCTATTAACTCATTCTTAGGGTTCTAATCTTTTCATTTGTTATGTTTGCTGATTTTTGGTATTTAGCATTGGTTTTTTTTGTTTTTGTTTTTTTTTCTTTTGGTACCAGGGATTGAACTCAGGTCCTTGCACTTGCAAGGCAGGCCACCAAACCGCTGAGATAAATTCCTGGCCTGGTTTTCCTTTTTTAATTCAAGTGTATTATTGTTTTTAATTGAGTCCATTTTTTCCAACTCTTCCTCCCTGTGAGAATCTCTTTTTGCTTTGGCTGTGGTTTTGCATATATCTCTGTCAGGGCTCTCAAGGATATCATCAGAATATCCTCAGATATCAGTTTTTATGCTCATTCCAAGACATAATGGTTTCTAGGCTTCAGAGAGCAAAAATTCAAACTCCAATTCTACATGAAGGGCAGGCTTAAGGTTTCTGTTTCCTAAAGAGAATCCTCCACCCAACCTCCCTGCAAGAGCTCTGGTGGAGATGAATGTGCTTTCTTGTTCTTCTGTTTTGGTAAAAAGTGTGTGTCTTCTCTATCCCCCTTTCTAAGAGTTCTGTCTTCGCAGGGTGCTGGATATATGCAAGGTTTTGTTCTAAACCCCCACTTGGCTTGTAATCAAGGCCTCATCTCCAGAGTTGATAGTGTATAAAAGCCCACTCCCCAGGTGGACAGTACCTCAAGGGCCATTCCTATTCGCACCTCACAGTGTATGCAGTCACAACTCCTGTCTTCTATTTCTGCACATATGCTTTTCCCCTCCTTATTTTGCCCATCAGCCATTCAGTCAGTTAAAGCAATACTGGTTAAATTCCCATTAGTGTTTTTAGGTAAGTAGAGTAGGAGGCTTCCAGGGTTCTATGGTTTTTCATCTGGTTGGAATTAAATCTTCTCAGGCTCCTTGCTTGGGAAACTGTTTTGTGCCTGTCCTTGTACCTTGTCCTCTGCTCGTCTGTTTTCTAAAAGTCTCGAGTTCTCTTCCTACCTCGCTTCTCATTTTTTCTTGTTCTGAAGTTCCTCTTTTATCCTACAAGGATAGCTTTTACCAAAGAGGCAGGACAGTTGGACTTGGAGGTGTAGACTGTACTGATGCATCTTTTTTCTGATTCTTACTTGCTGAATGATCTGTGGGCAAATTGTCTATTTTGAGTTCATTTTCTCATGTGAAAAGAGAGTAGAATTGGAAGTAGAGGGCTCTGGAGGCAGGCTGTGAATATGCAGTAAACAAAGGGATCTGGGACTTGGTATTTTAACAGTTGGCTGAGGGGTAGTTGGATCTGCTCTGTGATTAGATAAGTGATGTGCAAGAATTAGAGTCCATCAGTCCTAAGGCACAACGTCAAGCACTTTACATTTAATGGGTCCCTCAAGGGGTTATTACTGTCCTCTTGCTCAGATGAGGAAAAAGAGGCTGATAGTGACTGGGTAACTTGCCTAGTTCTGTTTCATTTTGTTGTAGTACTACTTCAGGCCTACCATCCTTCTGAACCAAACATCCTTTATAGGGATATTTATTGGAGGCATAAGGCTGTTTTACAGGTTTTAAAAAATTCTCATTTTGTCTTACTCATTTCAGGGGAGACTAATTTTCTTCTTTGAATTCTGGAATGATCTCCCCAGTGTGTGGTGGCAAAAAGATTAGGAGGAACATCTGGTTGTTACACCTCTCCTTCCTCCAAGGACAGCAAAGCCTTGGGCTCTCTTCCATAGCAAGAGACTAGCCCACCAGTGAGAGTCCCCCGACTCCCATGCACAGCTATGATTTTTGGAGCCTTTTTCAGCCTCGGTTCCCTTCCACTTCCCAGCTACCCTTGCCTAAGTCCCACCTGAGCCCTGAGCACTAAGTATGGGAGGTGAAGCTGTTTCTCTACCCATCTGGTCTCCTGGTGCCAAGCCATGTGAATAGCACACTAGGTTTCTTCCCCAGGACTCTCACTTACAGCAACAGGCCACAGGATGAAGGGCATGTATCTGTGGAGGGCGAAGGTGTAGAGCAGAATAAAGAAGCAGAAGATGGATATCTCCATGGTGATGATGAGCGTCAAGATGGGGTGCACGCTGAAGGTTGACCAGAACAGGAACAGTGCTGCAATCAGGCAGCCCTGCACAGAAACATACCCTTGAGGCCCTCTGAGGACCTTGGGAATCTCTCAGGGACACCCTCTGCCCAGCCTGACTCCTCTTCCCCGCAAGGAATATCAGTCCAACTCACCAAACTCAGGAACTTGACTGGGCCGTGCCCGAGGACCCAGAACTCTTTGTTGCTGTCGTTGAGTTCCCATCGGTAGCGGCGGCATCCCTTCCTCGTACCCACTTCATCCTTGGGCTGCACCTTGAGCTGATCCCCTTCCTTTTTTTCATCCTTGTTTTCCTCCCCGGGTTTGGCAGGATGTGGGGGTCCTTTATCAGCCATTGGTGGCCTGAATCCTCAGCTTCTCACGGTCTATGGTCCCTGGACAGGTCTGGCATACAAGTGAGCCTGGTGTCTACCGACCTGTTCAGAGACCGCGCTCAGCTAACCGCCAGGGCGGCCAAAGGCAACGCCTACGCACTTTTGGCGCGTGTAGGTCTTGCCACGTGGACCCGCGTGGGTCGCTTCTGCCCATCCTGGGCCTGACCGCTTGCTGTCCACACAGAGTTTTCAGCCTCTGTGCGCAGCTCCCCTCCTGATCCTAGGTTGGCCTTGCGAGGTAGCCCTACGCCTGTATTGGGCACTCCCGAGGTCGGGTCCAGCCGGCAGGTCCCTGGGGTTACGCGGGACTATGTGCATGCAAGGGCAACGGAAGTTCACACAACACATGAGTGAGCAGAAATATGTTCCCGACTCAACAGCACTCAGTATTCCGGTGTGTGTGACAGCGTGCGAGCTCAGGCGTGGCGTGGTGCAGGGAGTATACACGGACTCAGGTGTCCACGAGAGTGCCAGGGTGGCTGCAGTCCTCTGCGCAGCGCCGGGCAGGGGACACCCAATTTCCATTCCCAGGGCTCCTTTCACGTGAGTTATCTTATAGTACTGCATTGATGAAACAGGATTCCGCAGAGGAAAGACCACATGCTCAGCGGCTCAGCAGTGTTACCTTGACCTCGCATCCCTGTCCCCCTCCCAGGCCCGGCAGGAGCTGTGTTGAAAGCCCCTGTTCCCCTCCAACTGTCCGCTGCCCCATTGGCTCATTTTTCCCTTCCTAGGAAAGGATTTCGTGGCCAATAGCTGCCTTGCCGGGACCTTCGGGCATCAGGAAGGGACCTCTGAAGGGTAGGGCCCTGTTAGGCTCCCAGCGGGGGTGGGGTCCTGAGAAACCCTTTGAGTGGAGGGGACCTCAGGATGGGTTTCCAATGACAGGGAAGCCTGCTGGGGGCTCAGGGATCCATCTGGGAGCAGGAGAAGCCCAATACTGGACTGGAGCTCTGAGGAATCCTGGGCCTGGGGCTTCTGGAGCGGCTGGGATGGGGGCAGACTTGAGGTTGGGGGTGGCAGTGCTGAGTCTGTCACTATCAAAAGAAGAGAGGAGGGCTGAGGGTGTAGCTAGTGATAGTCGCTTGCAGCACAAGCAAGGACCTGGGTTCCATTCCCAGCATGAAAAATAAACCCCAAAACAGACACAAGAAAGGGAGAGAGGAAAGGTTTTAGACTTAGAAGACCCACTTGCACTAGCCAGGTGGTGAGTGCGAAGTGCAGCGGCTGGAGGCAGGAAGGCCCGCGGGGGTCTGGGGGGTTGAGGTGGCTGCTGCCCTCCAGCAGGAACTGATAGCGACCTGGGGCAGAAAGTGCTGGCGTGCAACGCTTGGGTGATGTTAGCAGATGGGAACCAGGGGCCACAGCAGCTGGCATTTCAGCCTTGTGTTCATCCCTGGCTGCTTAATGAACTTCCCCGTAAGGTCTTCCCGCAGCTAGTGTGAACTGTCCCCAGCACTAAACTCAAGCTTGGCACGACCGAGCCGGAGGGACAAATATTTACTGATTATGGAATAAATGCAAATAATTTTATTTAAAAATTTTTTTTGGTATTGGGGATCAAATTTAGGACCTTGGCTTGTGAGGCAGGTGGTGGCGCCACTGACCTAAATCCGTGGCCCTTGAATCAAAGAATTTAAACTTGTTTTCTGGATTAATTTCTGTCCTGTTGTGTAATTTCTTGAACCAAGATCTGGTCGTCCCTCAACCCACCTTCCAAGCATTTGCAATTCCTGGTGTTCTTTCATAGCATGTGGTAGGTTTGAGTCCTAGTTTGTTCCAACCTCGTAGCCAGGGAAAGGTATTTAACCACAGTTCCTATATCTATAAAAATGACAGTTGTAAAGAGTAAGTCAGAGCATTCCTACTGAGTGCTTCAACTGAAGCAGGCTTCCTTCCTCCTTCCTGAATGGGTTGACTTATTCCCTTGTGACAATGTACAATGTACTTAAAAGCAAAAACAAAACAAAAACCCTACAATATCTCCTTTTTTCTGTCTTTAAAATAAAATTCTCCGGTCTAGAAAAGTCAAAGTCCTATTGGTAGGAAAAATATTTTGTTGCAATATTCCAAAAATAGCGTGTATGGTTCCTAGGAGTTATGCAGACCTTTTTTTGAGAGAACTAAAATTATGGCTTTTACAAGCTTAGAGTTTGTGTAACTTCACATCATCTGAAGAAGTCATTACAAAAAGAGAAAGGGTGACAGTGGGGATTTCCTTCTGTTAATGACAGTGTCTGCCAGTCTTTCTTCAGTGTCTTAAAATACTGATCTAAAATGAGGTCATAGATGCCTCTCCCTAACCCTTCAATACAGAATAAATACATTTTCATTTTTGCTCATTGCCCAGGCAGTGGCTTAACAATTTATCAGTTTAGCAGGTCTTTCAAGTGCTAGCTCTTGATCAAATCTATTAAAAGATGGGAGGGGACAAATTTGGTTAGGGTTGAGTGTGGCAGGGGCAGATGGAGGGGAGGCAAAGCAAAAGTGAGCAGTGAAATTAAGTATGGAAGCTTTCTTGAGGTGGCACCCCAAGGAATCCACCCCAGGCCATGCCAGCCTGTATCCTCCCAGCCAGGGCATCTACTCTGTGCTGACCATCCTCAGGACCTTTCACATCCCAGTGGGTGAGAAGTAGGACTTGAAGCTGTCCCTGAGTTTGTATGGACCTTGCCTGCAGCATGGATTTAAAAGGCTGCTTTCGTCTGTTTTCCTGGACAACTGGCATACAGACTGTGTCTGCTATGGTCATCCCGCAGGTGTCCCTGACAATGCAGTGTTCTCACTGTGTTCCTGACACTGAATGTGCAGAAGGCACAAAGCACACAGAACGTACCATATGAATGGGACCCACAGAGGGCTTGGACTCTGAACCTCCAGTAGATCCCTCTGGTGTTGTGAGACCCCAGGCTACTCCTGTTTGGTGCTTTCAGGATTCATGGTGGACCTCCAGGCTTGGTGATGTCAGGCTACCACTGCTATTCTGGCTAGTACTGTGGCAGCAGCAGGGCTCTCTCCCTGCCGGCCCCCAGGGCTGCTGGCCGCTGAACCCTAGTGCCCTGCTCTCAGCCCTATGGACCAGCTAAGCCCTTCAGCCACCTTCAGTGCACATGTAGTGAGGGGCACAACCTCACTGCTGCCTAGTCTGGTGACTCAAAAATCTCTGCAACCCACCCGTAGGGGCTGCCAGCCAGCCAGGGAGGAAGGGGTTCCAGAGACCACGTAGGACAGCAGGTACCCAGACCCCACAGGAAGGCTGTTCAGAAATCTCTTCATCTAGCTCCCATATTGAGATTAAAATGAGAACTGCAGAAAATATATGAAAGAATAAAGAAATAACATTTAATATTTAGTACCAACTAGAAAGAAATATAAAAATACAAAACTTTTTTTGTCTTGAATGGTTTTTTCCCGCTAAGGACCACTTGGATTAAACAGAAGCTTCTGGTAAATTAGGATACCATCAGCAATACAGCACAGTGCTGCCACAAGTCCAAACACCTGGGAAGAAAGACACAACGTCACTGGCATCAGGTTTGTAAAAGTGGTCTGCCCGTGGGATTCTTCTCCCGCTAAGGTACTAAGATTGCTCCCTGCACTTCCATTCAGCACTAAAATGGGAAGAGACTTTAGAGATCATACTGTCCTCTTCAGTGCCAACCTTCCCCCATACTTGCTGACAGGGAAAGGACAGTGTGAGTGAGCAGAAATAATAAGAAGCAGTGTGGACTGTGTCTCTATCCCTTCATTTGCTCAAGTATGTATTCTTTTAAGCCCCATGAACTATAGTTATTTTCATCCTCAATGATCAACTGTTGACTTCTCTGCTGTGAAACTCTACAGGAGAAAGGGTCAAAACTCAAGGTTAAAATCCTTGGGGAACTGGAGTTATAAGATGACCCAAATGAACTCTCCAGGACTTGGCTATATACACCTTACTTATGGATGGGATTCTAAATGGCCCTTAGAAGTAAAACTAAGGCAAAGGGAACAAACTAGAACACATGGGAACTTTAGCTGGTCTGATGGCTATTATAGCTAGTAACGGCTGGGGAAGGAAGATGTTATTCTTTCCATGCTATTTGGACAGCTTCATCCAGCTGTCAGGAAGTCAGCTTCCTGGCTCAGTCTGACTTCCTCAAGCAGTATCTACTGTCTGGTCTAAGTGCCTCGTAGAGTCAGGTCATACTGAATACCTTCTACTGATCCTTTTATTTCTTTCACATTTCTGCACATTGCTAGTTTCTCCCCCAAAACCTTTCTTCCTTTCTTCTTATTCTCAGTAAACTGCGATTCCATTGTCAGAGAGGCTAGTTATTTCCTTTTTTCTGTGCCCAGAAGCATTCTCTTAACCTATTATACACAGCCATATGCATGTCAGTCACCTGGGTTAGGGTCTAAGCAACCTGAAGATAGATAGGACTCATACTTTACTTTAATCCAGTACTGTCCAAAAGGAATTCATGAGTCATTAATGTAAGCCACCTATTTCAAAATTTCCCAAGAGCACAGGAAATAAATAAACTGGACATAGTGGTTCACATCTGTAACCCTAGAACTCAGAAAGGAAGGAGACTCCTAAGTATGAGCCTAGCCTGGGAAACCTGGCAACTTAGTGAGACCCTGTCTCAAAAAATAAAAAAAGGGCTGGGGTTGTAGTTCAGTGTCAAGGCTCTGAGCTCAATCCCCAGTACTGCAAAACAAAACAAACCAAATGAAATTAATTTTAATAATATATTTCATGTAGCACAATGTATCCAAATTATCATTTCACATGTCATTAATATAACAAAGTTATTAATGAAGTATTCTACACTTTTGGGGGATAGTTAATCTTCGGAATTCAATGTATATTTTATACTTACAACTTATCTCAACCAAGACTAGCTACACTGCCAGTGATCAGTAGCCGCATGTGGCCAGTGGCTATCGTATCAGCTAACACAACTCTCTAGTTTGTCAGCATTTAAGGAATAAATACATAAATTAATGAGTAAATAAGCGAATGAACATAAATCCTATGCCTGGTCCTTCTTTTTTTCTTACTAGGAAAGGAATAAAATTGTCTTTAAAAAATAATTGGGAGCAGTTGCTGTCACAGTGTTGTCTCATTTCTAGAATACTTCTGACCTCTCATGAAGTTGCATAGGGCTGAAGAGAGGAAAAGTCATGGGTTGTGACATACAGGGCTGTCCAAGGATAGTCAATTCTCCCAAGTTGTTCATACTATGAAAGAATAAGAAAGTAGGAGAGAAGAAAAAATTTCTAATTCAATCCTCCAGATTAGAACCTAGAAAAGTCAAGTGAATCTTGGGAGAATATTAAATGACTCGACTCTTTTATTTTGATTTGCTTTCCAGGATAAAGTCTGACTAAGTTGATTTGTTTTTCTTTAAGCAGTGTTCAAAAATAATTCTCCAGTTGAAAGACGTCACATTACATTATTTTATTATAAGAACATCTATTATATTCCATCTGAAGAAGATTCAGAAGTCTTCTCACCTTAACAAATGACATGGATCCTTTTCTTTAAAAGGAAAAGCTGCCAGGCATGGTGGCACCTGTAATCCCAGCACTTGGGAGGCTGAGGGAGGAGGACTGCTTTGATTCTGAGACCAGCCTGAGCTGCATAATGAATTCAAGGCCAGCCTGAACTACATATGAGACCCTATTTAAAAAAAAAAAAAGTAAAAGGGAAAGCTATGAAACTCATTCACCTCATTTTTGTGTGACATCAGGCTAATTCTACCAGCTTTTCTCAGTCTGGTATCACTGCATCTAAGAAATATGTAGGAATCTGTATATTTGGTTAATTCCAGTTCTAATAAAAATTGTATTCCTTCATGTTAATCAGAGAATGCATTCACTTATACAAAATATTAGGGCAGAAAGTACTGCATACTGGCCTATAAGCCCTAAGGATGAATACAATACAGTTTTCTGGATTTTCCAAATAAATATGTATTCTAATCAAACCTGAAGAAAGATACTAGAAAGATCTCTACTTACTCCTCCAAGGATTATCAGTGTTGTGGTTTCTGGCATCAGTGCCAACACAGATACGATGATCATAAATAATGTTGTTACCATTGAGTTGATGATATCCTTAAAGACACAGAAAGGGAAGGTCAGCTTTACATAAAAGCCACCAATGGATGGGGATACAGCTCGGTGATACAGCACTTGCCTAGCATGCACAAGACCTTTAGTTTGAGCCCTAGAACCTCAAAAAAATAAAAAATAAAAAAGACAAGTTCCCCTAAGCAATGCTAAAAAACAACCAAACAAATAAAAAAAAAAAAAAAGGTCAGCTCCATATAGCTTCTTTTTGCTTTTGCTGTGATTGGAACCAGGGCCTTGTGGACGCTAGACAGGCACTCTTCCACTGAGCCACATGCCTTGCCTGCCCTAAAGGTTCTGAATGTTTCATTTTATCAAATATATTATTCAGGAAACCCAAATGCCATAGTAAAATGACACTTATATAGTATTTAGTCTCTACCAACACCTCATGGTTCCCTTTACTTTGAAAACACCAATCATTTAACTGCTTAAGCATTTATTTCTTTTTTACATAACATAAATATAGGTTGAATATTCACTTGGTTAGGAAAGTAAATGATGCATTATGTAGATTTAGGATACAGTGGGAAGTCCGAATGCCCATTTTTTTTTTTTTTCTTGGTATGGGGATCAAACTTGAGTCCTTGCGCTTACAAGGCAGGCAGTGGAACCACTGAGCTAAATCCCCGGCCCAATGCCCATTTTTAATAATGTATGAAAAAATCTATAAAAAAACTTTGTTCCTTAAATGCAATAAAACTGAAGGCGGGGGATTTAGCTCAGTGGTGCCGCCGCCTGCCTCGAGAGCACAAGGTCCCAAATTTAATCCCCGGTACCAAAAAATAAATAATAAAGAATAAAATAAAACTGAATACACTATACACTTAAGATACAAATGGTAATTTCCAGGATAACTGCTCACATGTTTATATACAAAGGCTGGCCAATTATGTAATTTGATTATATAGCTCATGCATTTATTAATTTTCCAAAATGAAACATTTCAGTCTGAAGAACAGCTTTAAGAAGTGCAATTTAGTTGCACGTGGTGGTGTACACCTATAATCCCAGCTCAGTTAGAGGCTGAGGAAAGAAGATCTCAAGTGTGGGAAAGTAAATTGTGTTTATTCTAAGACAATTTGGCTTATGTACATTTGCAGATAAGAAAGGAAGGAATTAACACAGGGATACTAATGTTCAAAACTCTGGTAAGTTAGAAAAATAAGTTACTGAATAGAAAGTAGAGCAGTTCAATGGGGGTAGGACAAGATTAGATATACTTAGAAGAAACAAAACTCATCTGTGGGAGATACTAAGAGTTGCTACCCTAGGTTAACTCTTCTCCATGTTATTTTGCTTTGCTTCAAGGCAATAGACCACAGCGCTCCTTCAGCCAGGAGGCCCTGCCCCTCCGAGCAACATGTGCTGTTCATGACTCTGGATAGAGATGGTATTCTAGGGAGCATAGAGAACCACAGTGTATCTGCTAAGGACATCAATGATCCTTAATGGACATTTACAGCATTGTTTTTAATGCTACAAACTAAACTTCAATATGCTATGCAGTAAAATATAAATTTAATACAAAATGGAGATTTTCCAGAAAATTTGTCTCAAGAGACTTGGGTTGGTTTTTTTTTCTTTCTTTTTTTTTTTGTGGCACCGGGGATTGAACTCAGGACCTTATGCTTGAGGCAGCTGCTGTGCCACTGAGCTAAATCTCCAGCCTGGGTGGGGTTGTTTTTGTATTTTCTGTCAAGGAGCACTTGAAGGAAACAGAGATATGTTCTACAGATTGTGTCAGGGACTACAATTTTGGGACCATGATACAACTAACAAATCTAAGTGCAGACGACCAAGCCCTCTTCTAACCAGTGAACATAGTGGCCATCGGTTGAAGTTACCTCTTTCCCACCTACAGACGAACTTGGACTCTTCAGCCATCACTTTTCTTCTTCTCCAACTAGCTCCCATTCCATTTTGCGGGGAACTTTCTTTCTTTTTGGTACTGGAGATCGAACTCAGGACCTTGTGCTTGCAAGGCAGGCCACAGAACCACTGAGCTAAATCTCCGGCCCTGTGTATTCCCTTTCTCCCATCAGTCTTTGAGTTAAAGCCCAAAGCACTCAAACCCTCCCATGCTTTGACCCCCAACTGTAGCAAGCCTTTACTCTTGCCTCCTTTCTTTTTCACAGCTTAATATCCCAGCCAGATCTACCTGCAGTCCCTGGTGGGTCTTTCTCTTTCCCCACCCACACTCACAGATGCTACTTCTTCTTTGGAGAAGCTAGTTGCTAACTACTTTTCTTCCTTCAGCCCTTGGCGCAGGCAGTTTTTCTTCACAAGCCTATTCTTATTTTGTCTCTTTTCTGGCTAGCTGCTTCCACACCATTCTGGGTATAAACTACAAGTATCTAGTCAATGAATTCTTGTATTTCTTGCTATACTGAATTTCTCAGGTACAAACGATTGACATTTTATCTTATCAAAGAATAGATTACAAACTCTGGGAATAGCAGATACTTAACATTTGAAAAATTTCATTAGATCAAGATCAGAAAGGACTCTGGAATTTGTAATGGAGCAACAACTTAATTTTTCAAGCACTGCTTCCAAGAGATTATAATGGCAAAGTTTGATGCCTAGAGATTTAGAGACTACTGCTTTCCATATACATAGGCCACTCTCTCTCTTAGTGTATTCTGCTGAATCTGGGGCTCCAATTTTATTACTGGGACATGTAAAAATCCAGAGAATGATTACAGTTTAGAGAAAAATGATAAAATGTATTCATTTTCATTTTATTAACGCTGGAGAAGGGGAGTGTGAACAGGAACTATACACCTTTTTGAGTAAAAGATCAAGAAATCCTTAGAATAAGCCCTTTCAGCCACTAAGTAAGGGCCAGCTGAAGAAAGCCTTGTAGTCACTTTTCCTAGACCCCTTCCAATCAGGTCTAGTCTGAAATGCAGATTTTATAGGAATTTTGAGAGATGTTATGAAGATCCTATTTCCCAGCTTTTCCCTTTCAGATTTCTTCAAGCTTGTGCTTAGTCTGAAATGCTCACCAATGATCTCCACAGGTAGTCCCAAAAGGTCTCTTTTTAAGGCATGCTTATGTTTTTATTTTTGTACTGGGGATCGAACTCAGGACCCTCTGCTTGTGAGGCAGGCACCACTGAGCTAAATCCATGCCAGGCATGCTTATGGTTTGAGAGTAGCTCTAAAGTCCTCTCTTGATAGAAATTATTAGGTTGGATATAGACACTTTGGAATCCAAGAGCATAAGGCAGAGGAAGGAATGGCAGCAATCAGCCCAGCCAAAGAGGAAAAGGGTAGCAGGGTGACATAGGAGAGAGACCTATGAAGGTAGGAGCTGGGCTAAGACTTGAAAGAGAGAAAGTCAAGCAATTTTTGCTACAACAAGCCTCTAGTCCAGGAGGAAGGGGCACGTACATCTTAACTAGCATCTTCAACCCTCATTCTGACAGTTTCCTGAGCCATTTGGAAACCCTATTGAGCAGTTCTTCTTAATATTTTATCAGGCTGAAGTCTATATGGCACAAATTAAGATTCAATAGGATAAGTTAAATTATCAGCATTAACAACTATAGACACTTTAAAATAAGGTAACAGTGTACTTTAGCTTCCTAAATTAGTCTGATTTTCCATTAGTGATCAAGGATGTGCAAAGATAGATAACTTGTGTACCTGTCTCCATCTCAATTCCTCAATACTGAGGCTACTTCAACATGCGTTTAAAAAGGACACAAAGATTAAGACATTCTATAATTTAATTAACATGATCCTAAATGTAAAATTTATTTAGAAGACCTAAAAGTGAATTCTCCTAACAGAACGGTTAGCCATATCTACTGGCAGATGGAATGGACAGGAGAATTCATGTTTTGTGGTTACCCTGGAACCCTGAGAGTCCCCCCAAAACAGTACAGAACACATTAGCAGTGAGCAGAGTTCCTCCTTCAAAGACCACCTTAAAAGTTTAAGAGAACCAAAGGATAGAGTTATGTCTCACTATGGTAGGAAATAGTAGTTAAATATTAAGAATGAAACTGAACACTTACAAGCAAAGGCCAAAATAACCATTTCATCAGTTGGTCAAGTCTGAGTATATATAAAATTATGAAAAAGAAAATAACAGTGGCTTCAAAGCCTGTGATAACAATGTATGGTTCAGGGGCTTGTGCAATAATAAAAAGAGTCATAGATGTCACAGTTAATACCTAGAAGGAAAAAAAGCACATAATTTATTCAAGGGTTACTGAATAAAAGTTTGAGCTGTACAAATCATTTCTAAAATAACTAAGCACGTTTCTGCCATACACATCAGAGAAGCATGACTAAAATATATAGATATTGACTTCTTTTTGTGTTTTAGAGAACTAGGTGACCTCAGTGTTAACAGTAACTACCCCACTTGAACTTCTGATACTAACACCTGAACTTATGAACATATAACATCTATTTGTTCTCTTTATTTTTTTCTGGCCAAATATCTCTTCTGCTAGCTCCTTTCTTCTTCATACTATAAACTGTCTTACCTTAAAACACATGCACATCCCTTCCTTTCAGACTGCTCCCCCTCAAAATCCCAGTTGTTTTCTACTTCTTGTTATACTTCTCAAAAAAGTTTGTATACAATGACTACCTAAAATGCTTTATCATCCACTCACCATTCCTTACCTCTTGGCAATCTGGAGTTACTGTCAAATGTAAGTTGAATGCTGCCGTGAAAAATACCAAAGGGAAGCCAGGGGTGGTGGCACATGCAGTAATCCCAGCACTCAGGAGGCTGAGGCAGAAGGATTGCCAAGAGTTTGAGGCCAGCTTAGACTATATAGTGAGTAGTTCAAGGCCAGTCTGAATTATATAGCAAGACTCTGTCTCAAAGCAAAAACAAAACAAAGAAAGAAAGACCAGGGGTGGGTTTTAAAATACACTATCAGACAAAAAAACTCTGATGTTTAACAGTTTTAACAGTAAAATAACCTTACAAAAAATACAATGCCATCAGAACAGAGATATTTTAGGAGAAAAACAAATCCTGAAGATAAGTAACCTAATCCAATTCCTTCCTTTCCAAAGGAAGACAGAAAATAGGCGATCAATGTTAAGTGAGTTGTTAAAGAAGAAACTGAGCAAATGGGTCATGCTGATAATGCCATGATGTTTCTAGGAAATACAGCTCTATCCAAAGTCTCTTTGTGTTCTTGGTAAATGGTTTTATCAAGAGTATTCCCTAACTTTCATAATTCTCTTTCATCTGGTAGCACCCACATACTATTTTTAAACTTTTAATCTAGAAGGGCTATTCATTCGTAATTATTTCAATTTTATTAGTATAAAAATAATCCTGCCTGTAAATTCTAAATTGGCCTTGACTACCAATATCTAGGTCCTAAATAACTCTGACTTTTATAATATAATAACTATTAACATGTCATCTCAAACTATTCCATTTACTCTATCTGACTCAGGTCTTGAGTGCATGGGTTACAAAGTCAAGTCTCCCCTTTTCAGGCCCTATCCTCTGTAAGCTTTTTGCATCATGGTTATTGGCACTAGTGATTACTCTGTTTTCTTAAAAATTCTCATGGTTCTGTCACACTGGATTCTCCCTTGATTTAGATTTATAGGTCTTGTATGTTTCCTAAGCTTTTTTCCTTCTTTCCAAGTTATCTCTAACATCTCATGTATTTCTCTGTCACCATAGCTATGGAAACTGATTTTGTTAACATCAATGACTTCAGAAGTACTAAATTTAGTGAGTAGCTTTCATTCCTTATTTTACTGGACTCTTATGACTTGTCATTGGCTGTCCTTCACCTACTTCTCTACTCCTTTGGTTTCTATGTCACCTTTCCCAATTCTTACTGTCTGCAACTGCTCTCTTGATGGCCTCCTCTCCTTTTACCCACTTCTTTAAAATTCTGGTATTCTTCTGGATTCTATCCACATCCCATTCAATGAATCAAGTTGTCTGACTTCCATTATTCACCTACGCAGCCATTTGGGATCTCCATCTGGATGATCCACAAGAATCTCAAATTCACCAAAACTGAACTTATGCCAAAATTGAACCCATCTTGCCTTCCTTCCTCCTGTCTTCACTACCTCAATTGGTGTTACTACAATCTACCTTCTTACCCATACTAGGAACCTAAGACCACTGCTTAACTCACTTCTCACAATTAAGGAATAATCACATTCTGCTGACTTAATGCTTAAACATACTTGGTATCTCTTCTTCATCCCTACAACTATTGCTCTTCAGAATCGTTTATTTAAACTGTCATGACAAAGATACTACAGTGAAATTTCTAAAATGCAAATCTGTTATCTATTTAACGTCCTTCAATTCTTCTCCATGGTCCTTGGAATAGAGCCTACCACTCACCATATACTTAGGAACTTCTACGATTCTAGCTTCTGTATACTTTTCTAGCAAAGACTTGTCTCACTATTTATCCACAGGTAATCCAGCGTTTACTTCTCAGTCCTCATTTTACTTGAATTATTATCAGCATTTGACATAGCTGATCACTCCCTCAGAGTTTGTGTACTTAGTTTCAAGGACAAAATACTCTTAATTTGTTCTACCTCCCCAAATCTTCCCCCTTTATTCTTTGTCTTCTCCCTTACCTCCAACTTTTGAAGTGTTACAAAGCTCAATCCAGTCTTCTATCTATACTTCTCTCTTGATGTCCCCAAGAGTCATGTGGCTTTAAATGCTTAATGTATTTCTGAAGCCTGATGTCTGTGCCAAAATTCAGTCTTGTTTATCCCACTTTCCTATGCACTACTGCCACTTGAATGAATGTCTAACTGGTACCTTGGACCTAACAATGAAATCCAAAATTGAACTTCTAGTTCTCCCCTCAAATTTGCTTAATTTACAGGCTTTCCAATCTCAGAAGATAGCATTTGAATCTTTTCAATGGCTTAGACCAAACACTTTGGCATTATGTACACTGGCCTCTTCTCTCTTAGCCCATGTCTGGTTCATCAGCAAATCTTATTGGGGGTTACTTTCATAATACAGCTTGAGCATCTCTAATCTGAAAAATCTGAATTGCTCCAAAATTCAAAAATTTTCAATGCTGATGTGATGACAAGTAGAAAATTCCATATCTGACTTCTGATGGCTCAGTGCCCACAAATTTGTTTCATGCACACAAGTATTAAAAATACTGTAGAAAACTACTATTAGGATATATGTATAAGGTACTTATATATGAAACATAAATGATAGATCTGAGTCCCATCCCAAAGATACCTCATTACGTACATGAAAATATTTCAAAATTGAAAATACTCTGGTCCCAAACATTCTGGGTAAGGGACACAGGACTTGCATATCCCAGATGCGACTATTTCTTATTACCTACTTTGCTACCACTAGCCACTAGGTGGCTGGCCTGAGCCACCATTATCTCTTACTCTGAATACTGCAACAGCTCTAAAGGCCTCTCTGCAGCTATCCCTTCCACTCCTTCTTCCACTAATCTACTCATTGTCAATGCAGAAGTCAGTGTTCTTCAAAGAAATTGTGAGTTAGATTATATAGTCCTTTACTCAAAACTTTTCTTACCTCGTGTATTCTCACTCTACTCCAGTAGTATTGGTTTTCTTGTTATTTTGATCCCATTAGGCACCTTCCTTCAACAGGGCATTACTGAATTTTCTTCTGCCTTAAACTCTTCCTCTACATAATCTCATAGCTAACTTCCTAATCTCACTCAACTCTCTGCTATCATCTCATGAAGGCCTAAACTGATCACTTATCACTGTTAAACCTGCTCTCCATCCCCTTCTGCTCACCTGGCTTCATTTTTCTCTTGCTCCATAGCACTCCCAGAACACTACACAATTTATTTATTGCAAGTTTGTCTCCTCTGCTCTCCATCCCAATAAGTAAACTATGAGTGGAGGTACCTGCTTTGTTCACTGCTACCTCTCAAGAGCTTAGAAAAGTACCGGCAGATGACAGGCATTCAATTGATATTTGCTGAATGAATAAATGAAGCAATGTTTAAGCTCTTATAGTTCTCTGAGTAAATCATGCTGTTTTATTTTTGCCTCTGTACCTTTGATCATGCCTCTTACGTATCACCCTAGACTCCTCTAAAAAGAGTTTTCGAACAGTTCTCTTTATTCCCTTGGTTAGATTTTTGGGCCCAATCTCCAGGTTATCAGATATTGTAACTATCTGCTTTGGTGTGTGTAACCGAAGAATTCTGTGAGTCAGGGGCTTCTGTCCTGGTTTCATTACTCTTGTTCTAGGCATTTCCCCAGAGCTTGGAAGACATTAAATATTCAGATGGTTTGTTTAAGGAAGCAATGTCAAAAACAAAACTTTCTCAAAGTATCTTGCATTTCCTCTAGTATTCCCGAACTTTCAGTAGCTAGTATAAAATCCCCAGACCTTTAGATCACTTTTTCCCTGATGACTTGCTCCTAACCAAAGGTAATCTCTCCTTTGACGTTAGTTTTCTAAACACCTCATATACATCCTAACTTGTATTATAACTATTTCTCAGAACCACAGACTGGGTTTGGAAATGATCTTATATTCAATCTGTTTTACTTACTCATCTAAAGTTTGAATATCCTTTGTAACATCCTCACCACTCATCTGTGCTTGCTACTTTTGTTACCTGAGAATGCAGTCCCTTCCCAAGTGACCATTTAATTTTGAGATCCTTCTCAACATAAAATTCTTCCTCATAGCATGTGGACCTGTTTCCCTGTAACTTTTAATTACTTCAACTTCCTCTCTCACATGTCAGCTCTTTAAAATTTAAAAGTTTATTTTTTCCTTCCCCTTGAATTTTCTTGTATTCCTTCAACTGTTATAATTTCCAGTTTTCTAATTATAGAAGGATTCATTCCCACCCTCCTCCAAACCTGTTTTCAGAACTGACAGCAGTGCTCCTGGTAAACCTGAAGTCCTAAACAGGCCATGCCGTTCCTTCTTTGTCCTTGCTCTGGTCTTATAGTATCCTTGAACTCAGTCTGATGAAATGTCTGATTTATATTAATAATGGTAGCACCTACAAAACTCCTAAGATTTTTCTTTTATTTTTGTTGGCTTCTTAGTGTTACAGCTGCAGCTGACTTGCCTCCTATTCTGGACACCAGGCCTTGTAGGCCATTCAGATAAATCTGCTGATTTTGTTTGCTAAAAAGGCCCCCAAATTCTCAGAAGAGGAGGAAATTGCCTGTGGCTCTTCTGCTTCCCCCAGCGGCCCAAAGGAAAGGCCCTGCCTCTGGGAAGGCCTTGAGAAAAGTTGTGATGGCTCACCCTGTAAAATCAGGATTTGGGAAGTTGAGGCAAGAGGGTTGCGAGATCACCTTAAGCAATACACAGCAGTGAGTTGCCTGGACTAACTAGCGACCCTGTCTCAAAAAACTAAAAAACAAAACAAAACAAAAAACGAGAAGCCCTCTATCCACAATAAAAAAGTCACGGCCCACAGAACAGGCCATTTGGCTCCACACCTAATGGCCAGGTGTCTCTCTTCGGCGCGTTCGATTCCCCCCTCCCGCCCCCTCATCCCGGCCC